GTTTTTAAAAGTTATAATCCCTTTTATTTCTACAGGCCCTTGACTCAGCCCATGTCTTTATGACAGTACTGGAATGTCTGATCCAGAAAAAAATGGCATCTTCCAACTAAATCCAGCAAGCTAGCTCCAAGGCTGGATGTGTGGCCATGAGGGTGTCTGATGTTAGCATGCATTTTCACGGTCCTCTTCTGAGGCTGACCAGAAAGCCCATCTTCATTTTATTCTATTCTCCATCACCCACACCTATCCTTATATCTAGTGTGGCTCCCGCTTCATTTCTTGCTAATTATATACATCTCAGTTAAGAATTTTTGAGCATAATTTTTTTTTTTGTAATTTATGTTGGATACAATATAGTTCTATTTTAAAAATATATTAGAATGTTTTAATGTTGAATCCTTGGGGGGGGGACTTTCTACGCATCCTTCGACCTTTCCCAGGTTAAAAGAGAGCTCCAGCCCCTTTTCTCCAGGCTTCCTTCGCTTACCTCCTGTGCTGTGAAGAGAGTGTTTTAAGTCCTTATATTCAACTAGATCCCCTCTTAGAGCATTGTACTATAGTGTTAAATGCCTGACAGACATTTTTGCTAGAAAATTCTTTCATTTCAACTTCATCATCTTTAATACAAAATCTATTATCTTCCCCACTCCTAATTCATCTCCTTGTTTTCACTTTCTCTATTTCTGCCATTGTTTTCTCATTTTTCCATCTCTCATATGCCTCTTCTCAAAGCACCTTATCTATCAACAAAGTATAGTAAATCCTCTTTTTTCCCATTCCTTTTTGCTATTCATAATCACTTGAACCCTTTGCATCTTTCCGATCTTTCTGCCTTTTTCTCACTCCCTTAGTTCATTTCATAATTGTTTTTGCAAAAGTAGTCTTTTTTAACATTGTCTTCTCCAGGTCATTTGCCTGGACATGAACCCTTGGTTTCTCCCATCAGCTCTAAGAGCAAGTCCATTTTCCTTAGTCTTGAAACTTATGGCGTCCATGTTTAGAATATTAGGACTACCCACTTTTAAAATATAATCTAATCATATATGTCCATTCCTTTATCAATATAGTACACTATTACATGCCTGTCATCTGCCCAGAAAAGCCCTTGTTTCTGGAAAGCAGAATAAGGTGATCTTGGCAGATGATGGTTCTACAGAGAATGCTAACTGTCTCTAATCTTCAACCATTTTTCTTTTTAAAAAATGTATGTGTATGCATGCATATGTGTGTACCTATGTGTGAGCAGGTATGTGGAAGGGGTATGGCAGAGGAGAACCTCAGCTGTCTACTTTCTTTGAGATAGTGTCTGTCGTTAGCCTGGAGCTGACAGATTACGCTGGGCTAGACAGGCTGACTAGTGAGCCTCAGGGATCCTCCTGGCTCTGCCTCCCCTTTGCTAGAATTACAATAATGAGCCAAACTGTCTCCATGCTTGCAAGGCTGAAGTAAAGATGAGTTATACCCTCAGTCCTTACGTCATTTTCTAAGGTGTATTTCAAATCTTCCTGTCTTGCAGGAACTTTCTCTGAATACGGAGCATCTTCTTTCCAGTCCCTACTTGTCTTATTGCTTGGATTCATAATTTGATACTTAGCTATTTGTTACTGCTCATTCAGTTCTTATTTAACTGTCAATCATACACTGAGTATTGGACACCAAATGTGTAATATCTGTCTGTGTCCATCTATTTTTATAGCATGGTATGCAATAACAGCAACTGCACAGCTGTTATCATGTAGACGCGTAGATCAGCATTTCCCAACCTGTGGGTCTCAACCCCACTTTGGGGTGCATATCAGATATCCTGCATATCAGATATTTTCACTATGATTCAAAACAGTAGGAAATTACAGGTATGAAGCAGCATCAACCCGAGGAACTGTATTAAAAGGTCGCAGCCTTAGGAAGGTTGAGAACCAGTGGCATAGATATTATATTAATATATTTAAACTTCAAAGCAATGTATGAAACGATCATAATTTTCCAGATAGGAAAATCAAAGTCCAGAAGCCTGCAGCTATTTTCTTGAAGTTACAAGTTATAAAGTAGCTGAGGTGAGATTCTAATCTGGCTCTGGAACCACTTATTAAATCTCCTTTTCTATATGGGCATGTACCAGTACCAAGTCATCTGTGTGCTCCTCTGAATATAAACACACACACACACACACACACACACACACACACACACACACACACACACACACACACACACACACACACACACACACACACACACACACACACAAACTCCTTCCCTGATAGGTGAAAAATTCCTGGAGGACAAGGAATTTGTTGTACTTACTTGCCTTCTCATTCCTCATTCCAGTCTTTGCATATAGTTATACTTGAATAGATTGATCTGTTTGTTGTTGGTGCTTTCATTAGCCATGGAAGGAACTGAAATATTTTCATTTGCTATTTTTTAAAATTAAAATATAATTATATCATTTCCTTCCTCCCTTTTTCCTAACCCTTCCCATGCTTCATACCCTAATTCATGAGTTATTTTTTTCTTGAATTGTTGATACAATTTTAAATGCCAACTAGCATTTTGAGGTAGAAAGGGAAGAAACAGAGATCTAGAGTAGAAGAGAGTACTCTGGAATGAATGATTACTTCATCCTGTAATCGTGGAGGATAGGTTTATACAAGAAAAGATACAAATATTCAGCTCTTAACAATGAAGTAAAGTTTTCTTCACAAAAAAGGAAAAAATATACATATTATGGCCTCTTCCCTTCCTACATCCTGTTTCTTGGTGTTCGTGCCCATTTTGCTTTATTCTCTTCAATATCAAAGTTTGACATTAGGATCCCATAGCTGCATTCCTTGTTAAGGCTTGGCCAGTCTTCTTAAGGTTTTTAGATGTGGAAGAAGATGAGCATTTTTCCTGAAGTGACAGTGTTACAACTATGTAGGTAGCCTAATAAAAGCTGATAAGTACATATTTGAATTAAAAAAAAAATACATAGGTGGTAGGTTATTTGCATTTTAAAAGGATTCTTCCCTTCACAAAAGGATCTACTGCAGGGTTCCATTAAACATCCAATTCCTCTTACTGCAGTTATCAAACAATTTAATTTACCAAAATTTGATTTATATGACACTGTAAATGGGGTAGCTCTCAACTTTCTCTTGGCATGGAAATCCTGTGAGCTACTGATTTAAATTTCAGATCCTGTCTCACCCCCACCTTTACCCAGGATAGTAACTTAGCTTGCCTAGGGTGCTTTGGGTATATTAGCTGGAGCCCCATTGTTGGGTTTCTCTAGGTCCTTTGTATCCTTTGCTACCAAGTAGCCCGTTTACTCTTCATTTAGAAAAATTTACATACATTTTTAGATCAAGTAGAGTCTCACATCTCCTTCCTACTGCTGCCGAAGCTGTAAATATTTTCAGTCTCAGGTTCAAAGTAGCTGTCCCCACCCAAATATAGTCAAAAAGCCCGTTAAGCACCCTGTTTTAGTATGAGATGTCTTTTCAGATCGTTACTTTCATTTCTTAAAGGTGACAAAGTTCTCTGGATTTATGTATGTTCTCGCCATTCCCATTTCTGCAGACTCCAGCATCTGTCCCACATCCTTTCTCCCTTATGCTTTGACAATGATGTCCAGTGCCTAAGACGTGGCCCAGAAACATCAGCTATGGAGGAAAGGGTCTTTCTGTGTGTTTCCTCTTACACAAATCAACACTCCTTTCTCTTCCTTCTATTCCTCTGTCCTGTAAGACCAAAAAAAAAAAAAAAAATTGAGACTCACCGCTTTGGCATTACTCCAGTTCCACAAGTGGTAACCTAGCCCTACCACACTGAATGCCAGAACCTGAGCATTTAAAGGATGATTAAAGTTTAATAAAACTTGTTTCAAAAAATAGACTCCATGACATTTATGGCATCTGTGTATTTAACATATATCACTGATCTTTGAAAAGTCAGTTTCTTGACCTACATTTAGCCCTTGATTACTTTTCTAAATCTCTAGTAATCTCCAAAAACATTTAGAGATTTCCATACTTTAGGGGGTTTTTTTGTCCTTTATTAATCCTCTGTATCCCTGAGTTTTGCTTTGAGTAGAGGCTCTCAGGGGTGATCTGGGTTTTGTGAAATATTTCTAGTGGTAATAGAAACAGCTCAAGAGCAAACAGCCAGTACAGTTGGCTACTGGTGGAAAAGCTTTTCTGTTAGATTTATCAGAGCTGATGCTTCTCTTGTCCTGAGGAGTCCTGAAGAGCTGAATTTGTCTCCTGTGAGGACTCTCCAGAGGTTCTATTAGTTGTATATTGAGGCTTTGTGTACCTTCTTTAACCCGTTCAGTTCAGGGATTGGCCTCCCTCGTGGAACATGGATTTTTCTAGTGCAATGAAGTGGTAGAAAATGGAGTGCAGTTACCACTGCTTAAGGTGGATAGGACAGAGACGGTCTTAGGTAGTCTGAGCGACCTATGAGGTCGACCTATGACCTGATACTGTGTTCAGTATCATTCCATTTAGAGGAAAATCCAATGCATAGGGGGGAAAAGGATGGTACTCTCTGAAAGGTGAGATCATAACTTCTTTTTTTCTTTTTGTTTTTCTTCAGACTTTCCCCCAGTTTCTGCAGTGAACATGTATTTCTGATGCAAGTAATTTAAAAGAAAGAAACCGTTACCTGATCCTTTGAGTCTCTCTGCCAGAGACCTAATCTTGGTGGATCTATCACAAATCCTATGGATTGCCTATAATAACAATAAAAAGAAAGTCCTTGCTATGATTCAGCAAACAGAAGCTAGCTCTTTAGATGGGAGAGCCCAGGCTCCTTCCATAGCGTGGGGGCTGGTGTTCAGGGAGTGCTGCATGCTACTGAGCGCATGTGTCCCCCCTACACCTCCTTCTATGAGAGAATTTAGAGAAGGTTACTTTGCTGCGTTTGGGATTTTAACCATCTTTTCTCTTTTCTCTTCTCCCCTCCTCTCCCTCTCTCTCTCTTTCTCTCTCTCTCTCCTCTCTCTGTTTCTTCCCCAGGCCTCTCCCACCTTATGATGAGTGAACAAGGTAGGTGCTTTGGGCTGTGGTCCTGAGATGCCTGGATTGCTTGCTTCTCTGCCTCTGGCCGGTCATTCAGAGCCTCCTCCATAGAAAGCCATCTGTTGCCTGTGCCTCCTGCCGTGGACCAGGCTGGCAGAAGGGTTCCCTGTGCTGTGGAGGAACACCTTTCTCGATGCATCCTGGTATCCCACCTCCTACTCCCAGCTTCTCCATTCCTCCTCACCATTTATCATCTGGGCCAGGCGGGGCGCTGGCCCTGCTGGGCCGCCTCTAAGAAGGAAGCATGAAACAAGGCATGACGCGTTGATAATGGGGGTGAATGAAGCTAATTTCAGAGCAACCAGGCGGTTAACTTCCTCCTGCTCTCCCCCAGGCCCCAGGCTGGGGCCCAGCTTGGGAGCAAGGAGCTGGATTTCTCCTTGAACTTTACTCTGGGTAAAGGTTTGGTGTATGTCTACCCCTCCATTCCATTGCCATCTTAATGATACTCTGCCCTTCTTGGTCAAAGGAAGCCCTTGGGGGTGGAGGTGGGGCATTGAGTGCTTTAAATTTTATGTAAAAGGGGGGAAAAAAAAGGAATCACCAAAGGAACATGCTAATGTCCTCATGGCAGGATTCTAACTCATTATACACCCTGAAGAAAACTGCATATAAAGATCTGTAAATTCAGCATCTGCAACCTAAAATATTCAAATATGCAGGGAATGAAGTGTGCAGGAAATTCAGCTCAGCTAGGCATGGGGTAGGCTGTGAATGAAGCCTTTTTCTCCTAAGTAAAAATTTTCCACATTATCAGCCCAAATCGGGATCTGAGAAGGGAGCCCACTTAAAATTTTTGTCTTTTGCTTCACTGTTCAATTGCTACTATTGTGTTTTTCTAAGCTTTGGGGTGATTGCAAGATTGGTCTACCTGCCTTGCCCTGTCACCAAAAGACTGTTCTTTAATTTTTCTTATCTGTTTCTTTTCAAAACACATATCAGATTCAATGCTCCTTTGGGAGTATCAAAGAAAAAAGAAGATGTGGAAGAGTTTCACATAGGATGGTTTTTTTTTGTTTGTTTGTTTTTTTTTTTTTTTTTTTTTGTTTTTTCTTGATCTTTGGAGAATGTACAGCCACGTCCTATCTCCTAGTCTCTCAAATCAAACTATCAAATGGTTTGACCATAAGGGAGATACCATCAGGTCACATAATCATCTGGGGCTGGAAGATACCATTTACCAGTTGGAGGTGGGCAGTTGAGGTCGTCCTGAATTAATGAGGCTGCTTTTCCAGTATAAGTGCATTCTGTAGCATGAGCCAAGGTGTTGACACCATAAATTTTAAGACAGTGTTGGTTTCGCAGTAGAAAGCAGATATCACCATATATCTGAAGGGAAAGGTCAGATGAGTTCTTCAGGGTTACGTAAGGGGCTAGAATGAAGGCTGTCTCCCTGCAGCTGGGTGAGGAAAGCAAGTACTCCTCCATCAAGTATTGGGAAGTAAATATGAGTAGGGGGGGTGCTTGATGTGGACCTAGTATTTAGACAGTTTGAGAAGCAAAAGCCTTTGCCTTTGAAGAAAGAGGAACAGAATTCTAGGAATTGGTAGAATTTAATGGTCCAAACTTGATGACAAGTGACACCATAAAAGCAGGCCACCAGAGCCCTGATGGCAGGATGTCCTCCTGTGTTCTCCAGTCTTGTGCTCCTGGTTTCTCTTTGTGAGGTCTCCCAGCATTTCAGGTGCCCCCAAGTACCATGGGTATCATATTGCTAGTACCACAGGGCAAGGAGTTGGGCTGATATACAGGGGCTCCCTTGATCTTAGCTTTTTTCAGACACACAAATGCATTATAGGAAGGCTAGATCCAAACGCTGGTATGAACAGAATTTGGAGACTCTGTAGCACACACCTTACTCTAACCCCACATCTACACTTATGGAGCATTCAAGTACAACCATGTTCCTGGCTAGTGCCTCTTCTAGAGAAAAGAAAAGAATCATGCAAACACAGATGCTGCCAGTTCCTCCCTTGAGGGGGTTTCAAGAAAAGATGCAGAATCCTTCTGGGTGATGGTGCCTCTAAGGTTTTAAGTTGCTATTGGAGGCTTAATTTGACTTAAGAAACCCTTTGACTTCATTCCTCTTCCTGTCATACTTTTCCATCTTCCCCTCATCCATTCTTACCTCTACAATGACTACTCTAAAACCCATCACTTCTCTCCTCCAGTGGCCCCTGCCTTCTTTTAATCCCAGTACATGGGTGATAGGGGCTTCCCACCAAATCTCCAGAGTTAATATTTGATGTCCACAAATAGATGTGGTATTTAAGTGTGTTGTGTGTATATCCATTTTATTGTATGACCCACTCTTGGTCCTCTCGTCCCGTGCGAATGTTGGGAAAATACAAGAGAACCAAGATTTTCAAAGACTTTTCTTAACCATGTTTTTTTTTTTAAAGATTGTTCATACATGTGCAATTTCACATCCATGTGACTGTGCAGTGCTTTTGCATGTGGACTTTGCCATGTTTTTGAGGATAGAAGTGAGAAGAAATGAATGGATGAAGTTTGAACATGGAGCCAATGGAAGCAGCCTGGTTGGCTCCAGCATTTGCTTTCTAAACCTCCCATCATGCATTTGCTTTGTGCTGCCTCCTGAAGATGATGGGGTGTGGGGGGGTCAACTTCCTGTGATGTCTGTCCTGAGATTTGCCATGTGTGTTACTTCTCAGTGTGCCTGCATTGTGCTGATGTTCACTCTCTTTCTCTCGCTCTCTCTTGCCGCCTCCATGGTGGACACCATGCTTCCTCTTCTTATCTGGACCTGCTGCTTACTTTCTGTAGGTAGAAGTAAAGGTAGATTGCTTTATTTTTATCACTCTATCAACCTATCAATGTACACTCTCAGTTATTCATGTGTGCGAGGGGAATTGTTGATTTTGATGAATATGTAGGCCATGTTAGAAGTTAACTGCTTTTAACTGCATGTGGAAAAAAAACAAAAAACAAAAACATTGTGGTCATTGTCCTTCAATGAACCCTGTGTTCAGTGTCGGGGATGGTTCTAAAGGCAGTCTGAGCCATATGTATGATGCCACATGGTGTCTAACAGGAAAAGGGTCTCTGGAAGCTGACACACTGTGTGGAGATGTGTTTTACTCCATTGCAGGGTGTTCTAAGATCCCTTCTTGTGATGTGTGTCTCTGGCATAGGGGAGGTAGGAAAAGATATCTCATAATTGCTGGGTTTTATACATAACTGCATCTGGAGTATTATCAGTACCAGAGCGATAATGGAAGAAAAGGGGGAGAAGATTGGAGAACTATCTAATTTTACTGTCAATTTTTGGGGTGTTTGGATATTGCTCTTTTTTTTTCCTTCGGTGTTGTAATTTCTTTGCATTTTTGGGAGATAAAATATTAAGGGTAGGGGTGATAGGCTAAGAAAGGTGGGACTAGGAAAACAATAGAAATACAACTACGTTATACTGGAAGGAGAAAAAGTTGATGCGGAATGTTACTGTAGAGTGTTTTGCTAACTGGTCAGGGAGGAGAGGCGACCAGTAGGTGGGCTTCTTTTACTTTGCCATGCCTTTATGATTTGGGGTGGTAAAACTCATTCATCCATCTCTAATCCCAGAGAACCTGTGTTACCTGCTAACATTGGATTAACTGTGCTGAAGTGAAGGTGAAGTTAATTGATGATAAATTATAAATATCTCTATCCAGTTCTATTTCCTGAATAACTCTTCCCTATCCTGATGGGCTAGTCCACTGCTGTTTCTTTCAAAAGTTGCCAAGTAACATAAGTAGAGAGAGTGAATTCTGGTGTGAGGATATGGCCAAAAGATAGGGTTGACAAGTTATTCCAAATGCTCAGTTGAGCACCTGTCAGTGAACTGGTCATTTTTTCCCTTGAGTTTTGTGTCTTCTGTACACCTGCCTTGGGAGTGTTACAGCCTTTTCCAGTTTGAGCTTTCTTGGTTGCCTGCTCCTTTCATGATAATCCCAGGCGGATTCATTCTCAGAAACCTGCTACCTTAAACCCTTACCCCATTGCTGGATTGATGCCTTTGGAGAAGAGTAGGTGGGGAAGAGGAAGAAGCCAGTGGCCAGAGAGCTCTTTATAGGTGAAACCACACATTACCCCATGACTTAGCTGATTGAAAATGTGCGGTACCCTTTCTCTCTTCTCTTCTCCCCTTCCATACTCCTGTCTCTTCATTTTTCTCCTCAAACGTCCCCTAAAAGTTTTGTCTGGGTGTCTATGGGCTTTTGCACATGGAATCTTTCTTTCTGTGGGCCGTTGCTGTCACTACCACTACTGGCTATACTCCTGTATGCTGGCCATTGTTCTCTGTGTTTTGCGGGTCTCCTCAGACTTAATATCCATTCTTCTATGAGGTATGTGGTGGCATTATCTGTGTTTAACAGTCCTAATAACAAGGCTCAGAAAGATGTTAGGTGACTTCTGAATGAGACTCAATTCCAAATCGGAGTCCCTGACCACTCCTCTGTGTAGCATGTCTGAGATACAAGTATGATTTCCATGTACTTGCCTCCTGGCTGCCATTCAGACACTGATTGTTCTTAAGTTCCAGCATGCCACCTTACATTTGCTGTGACATATATCCACATAAATGTCACCCCGCACTGTCAGCTCAGTATGTCAAAAGTCAACCTTAGTGTCATTTGTCTACATACCAGTTTCCCATTCCAAAGCCCCTTCTTCCTCACCACCCAGGCTTGACCGATAGAAACGCCTTCCTAAAGTCTTCCTTCCTGAATGCTCCTTCTCCGCCGCAGTCAGTGGAAAGAGCATTCTGGGATTGGCTCTAGAATGGCTTTTGCATTGATGTCTGCATCCAGAACTTATTAGGTCATTATCCTTTCCTAGTTCAACTCCCTGCTGATTTTTTCCCTTCCAGTCAGCCCACTGATGGAGAACTGTGTCAACTCTGCTGTCTACCATGTGGGACACAGGATTAACCTTCACTTCCAGAGCAGTCTCCAGTGTGGCCCTGT